CCCCCCCCCCCCCCCCTCACAGGGAGCGGAGAAGCCGGCCCCGACTGGCAGAGGCCCACACCTGCCCAGGGTGGTCACCCCATCCTCGACACTCGGCCCCCAGGCAGCCCTCCTCCAAGACCCAGGGGGTTCTCAGGCTTCAGAAACCCTGTGTAGGAAGGAAGCCCCATCCATAGGAGGCAGGCGCCCCCAGGGAGGGGGAGAAAGCCTGGGACCGTGTGGGTCTCAGGGAACACGCCTCGAGGACCAAGGCATGTGGCCCAGGCACCTGCGCCGGGGAAAAGCCGCCGAATAAGACGCAGAAGAGTAAATACATTTACAATGTATTTAATGTATACATTTACAATGTATACATTTAATGTATTTACATGTATTTACATTTAATGTATCCATTTACAATGTAATTATAAATACTGCAGTGTATTTATCGAAGAAAATCCAAGTATATAAGTGGACCCACGCAGTTCAAACCTGTTTCGTTCAAGGGTCAGCTGCACTCACTGCAGCTCAAACAGAGCTCAGTTCAAGCTCAAACAGATGTGGGAGACTTTGAGAGAGAGAGAGAGAGAGAGAGAGTGTGTGTGTGTGTGTGTGTGTGTGTGTGTGTGTTTACCCCGTGTGGGGGTGAGACTGGCCTGGAGATGATTCACTAAGCGTTTGAAGGGAGCTAGGAGTGTGTGGGAGACAGAGGAAGCTTGGGGAGAACCTGGCTCGCACAGCCACCTGCCCTGCCCTGCAGCCCGGGATGTGAGGTGACAGCCATCTGGCCCTGGCCTGGGGGGGCTGGGGGCGTGGCTCAGCTCTCTCCCTCCAGGGCCCTCAGGCCTTTGGGGAGCAGTCCCCCTCACCGTGCCAGGGCTTGCTCCTCCTCCCAGAGTCCTCTGCAGGTGGCAGTTGAAGATCTCCTCGGCCCGCCGCAGATACTTGGTAATTTTCAGCTTCACAGCCTCGCGTCGCTCCTTGTTGGGGTCGACTGTGGGACAATGGGGTCACCGGGACCCACCCCGGCCTTGGAGGGCTGGGGTTCTGGCTCCCTCTGCCCACCCCCTGCCCTCCACAGGACAGAGTGCCTACTTGGGAGGCCGGCCGCAGACTGTTCCCCAGCCCTCGTCCGGGTGGGAGACGGGCAGGTGGGGAGCGGAAGATGGGGGGAGAGGCTGGGAACCGTGGTCACCCTCAGCCTACTGCACTTCACAGTTGGCACCCACCACCTTGCTGGCTGCTGTCACACCCCGGGAAAGAACAGACTGGGGATTTCCGCATCCGTTTTCAGAGAAAGGAGACAGAAGCTCCCAGAGAACGTCCCTCTGTCACCTCTGGTGCCCAGTGTGAAAAGGCCAGAGTGGGGACTGGGATTGGAGGACAAACTAATTCACTGGGCAGTCTGAAGCTCAGGAACTGGGGGTCTCTTTGGCAGGGGGCGGGGTAGGAAGCCTGAAGCAGGGCCCGACTCCCACCCCCAGCCTGACCACGCTCAGGGATCTCAACCTGGCCACAGGGCCACCCTCTCCCCCCGGCTTGAAAATGCCTCACTTCGCCCCAAACAGGCTGCTCTCTCTCTCTGGAGCACCACCTGGGTTCGGCTGGACAATATACCTACTGTTCTTCAGTGCTCAGATTAAAGTTTTGACTTCTAGAAAATACCCTATGCTAGCCCAGCCTGGCCTCAATTTCTCTCTTCCCTCCCCTCACTTCCTCCTCATTGCTCTTCCCACCTGAGATCATAATTATTAATTGTCATATGTATCCTCCTCCCCCAGAGGGCAGGAGCCCGACACTACTCCAGGGACAGGCGCTGGGTCAAGCACCCAGCCTCTGGAGCCCAGACTCTTCAAACCTCAGCTTGCCACTTGATAGCTATGGAACCTTAGGCAAGTTATTTCACTGCCTGATGCCTCAGTTTTCTCAACTGGAAAATAGGAAAGAGGGCGCCTGGGTGGCTGGGTCGGTTGAGCTTCAGACTTTGGCTCAGGTCATGATCTCGCGGTCTGTGAGTTTGAGCCCCGCGTCAGGCTCTGCGCTGACAGCTCAGAGCCTGGAGCCTGCTTCGGATTCTGTGTCTCCCTCTCTCTCTGACCCTCCCCTGTTCATGCTCTGTCTCTCTCTGTCTCAAAAATAAGTAAACATTTTAAAAAAATTAAAAAAAAAGAAAATAGGAATAAAAATAGTTCCTATATGGGTGCCGGTTAAGCATCCGACCCTTGATTTTGGCTCAGGTCATGATCTCATGGTTCCTGAGTTGGAGCCCTGCATTGGGCTCTGCGCTGACAGTGCAGAACCTGCTTGGGATTCTCTCTCTCTCTCTCTCTCTCTGCCCCTCCTCAACTCACTTTCTCAAAAAACAAAACAAAACAAACCTTAAAAAAACTTTCTAAGTTTTTCTTTTTTAATGTTTATTTATTTTTGAGACAGAGAGAGACAGAGCATGAGCAGGGGAGGGACAGAGAGAGAGGGAGACTCAGAATTCGAAGCAGGCTCCAGGCCACGAGTTGTCAGCACAGAGCTTGACTCGGGGCTCAAACCCACGAACCGTGAGATCATAACCTGAGCTGAAGTCAGCCGCTTAGCCAACTGAGCCACCCAGGTGCCCCAAAACTTTAAAAAATATTTTTTAATTAATAAAAAAAATAGTTCCTATATACTTGGAACTACAACAACATATATAGTAATTTCTGTTACCGTGAGGCTCAAATGAATTAATACAGGTAAAGCCCTTAGACCAGTGTCTGGTATAGGAACTGCTCAATAAATGCCAGCTGTTAATACTGGCCTTCCCTTGGGGCACCTGGGTGGCTCAGTCGGTTAAGCGTCCGACTTCGGCTCAGGTCACGATCTCGTGGTCCGTGAGTTCGAGCCCCGCGGCGGGCTCTGGGCTGATGGCTCGGAGCCTGGAGCCTGCTTCCAATTCTGTGTCTCCCTCTCTCTCTGCCCCTCCCCCGTTCATGCTCTGTCTCTCTCTCTCTCAAAAATAAATAAACATTAAAAAAAATTAAAAAAAAAATACTGTCCTTCCCCGCAGGGCCAGCCTAGAGCCCTGTTCACTCAGCACAGATGGACAGAGGTCGGGGCAAGCCCTAAGCTGGCCCTTCCCCACTGGCCCTCGTCCCTGCCCAGCCCAGCCCTCACCGTGCACGCCTCGCAGCAGGACGTCCACGCCGTTCTGGTAGTGGTTGAAGGCGGCCTCATAGTCCTCGCTGACATCACGCTCCAGGGCCAGCCGGATCTGCGTGGCTGCATCTACCAGGTAGTCACGTTTGGTCACGTCCGGGGCCCCAGGAGCCACCAGGCTGCGAATCTGCTCCAGGTACACACGGGCCTGGGACCGTGCGCGGGAGCAAGGCTCAGGCTCCAGGCCTGGGCCAGGAGGGCACTCGCAGGCCACCAGGCTCATGGCTGTTGTCCTGTAGCGGTGACCTGAAATAAACAGATGCTTTAGGGAGGCCCCAGCTGGGAGCAACACCCCATCTGCCTCCTGATTTCCTCCACTGAAAATTGGGAGATTAAGGGCTGGAGGGATCAGAGCTAATGTGGGTAACATCCCTCTACGGAGCCAGACCTTTTGTAAATGGTAATAATAATAGAATAATAACCTGCTCAGGGCTCTTCCTTTCCATTCAAATTCAGATCAGCAGATATTTTTTGAGGACTGAGAGAACTGAGGGCATTTGTGATCCAGAGTTGCCCTCAGAGTTGTCTCCACAGACAAACTAGCATCTACTACATGGTAAACATACGATGGCCACACACGGAGGCTGTTCCTCACACTGTTCCCTCCATCCTGCCTGTTCTCCTGCTCACACTCCGCCTACAGGAATCTCATTTATCCTTCAGGGTTCGGTGGTGGCACTTCTCTGAACAGAATAAATGGCCCCTGCTTCATTTATTTTCTTTGGTGCCAAGGTCAACCAAATGAAAACTCCCCACCTACACACACACAGAGTTAGGCACAAGGCCTGGCCTTAAAGCCTGTGGGCCAATGAAATGACTGAGTGGCAGATTCTGGATGAAGTTAGAGGAAGGAGGATAGGGTCAACCCAGCCCTAGGGAGGGGGTGGCCCTGTCCTCCAGGCTCTGAGTAGGCCAGGGAGGCCACGTGGCCTCCAAGTACCTGACAGCAGCTCCTCCCTGAGCAGTGTGTGACACGAGTGGCCAAAGGGATAGGAGCAGTGGCTTCAGGAAAGGAAAGGGCTCAGAGAGAAGCCAGCAGGGATGCCTCTGCCCCCTACTGCAGCGCAGCAGCACCTGTGCTCTCTCAGGGCCCATTGGGAAGGGCAGGGCCTGCACTTCCAAGTCTAGGCCACTTGTGCCTCTGTAG